AACAGCAAGAAAAAAAAAAAAAAAACTTTAGAAAAAAAAAGAAGCCTCTTTGTTTCCATTAAAACGGCTTCACTGTTAAAAACGAAAACAAAAAAAAAAAAGTATAGAAAAAAAATAGAACTAATATTTTGTTTTCAACATTTTTTATCTAACAGTATTTGTTCATCCCTGCAAAATTTTGTTTCGTTTCCTTTTGAACATTCAGCAAAAATCCAACTTTTTCTGCACTAAGGGAAAAAAAATATGAAGTAAAAGCAGAAAAACGACCAAAAACAAAAAAAAGGGAAAAACCAAAGATCAAAGAATGACAAAGTGTATTTTAATGAAATTGATTTTTTAACAACATTTATTGAAATTTGATTAAAAAAAAAATTACTTCAATTTTTGCTTTCAAAGACTGTATTACGGAATTACTGGTGAATTTAACTGATACAGTGCCATATAAAAACATTAAAAGTCTCTAAAAAAACGTTGAAGACAGATGGAAATTTCGCAGAAATTGGAATTAAGAATGGAAAAAGGCAGAAGAAAAAGATATTCAAAATTTTATACAGTTAACTGTTTCTTTATATTTAGACAGTTTTTTCTCACTCTAACTAATCTTTACCAGAAATTTATTTATCTTGAAAATAATTGGTGCAAATGAAAAAAAAAACAGTATTTGTAATTCTTTTTTTGTTACTTTTATTCATATCAGTGTCAAAAAAAATAAAATCTTTTTATGTTTATTTTTAGAAAATTTTATAAACTTTTTTAAGTATTACTTTCAATGATAGCTGCAAAAAGGATTCTTTTTTCAGTGGTCAGAAGTGGTTAATCCATCATCCTGGAATGCTAAGAGTAAAACTTTTTTCTTCCCAGTTTTTCTTCACACAACTTTTTTTTTTGCCGTTAGAATAACCAACAGCTTATTTATTTTTCAACTTTTTTTTTATTGCCTATTCAACTACACTCTGTTTTGTGCTTGACAAAATTTTTTTCATTGTTTCTGTTCTTTTTTTTTCTGTTGTAGCTGTTATTTTGAAATTTCTAATTGTTATTGCCGTCAATATAATATAATACTATAGATGCTACACTTTAGCTTATTGTTGCTGTTTATTATAACTAAGTAAAAAAGCAAGAAAAATGTGTTGAAACTTCTGAAAAATGATGGCTGAGTATTATGGAGGTGATGCTGTTGAAGAAGATGATGATAAAGAAGAGAAGGCGAAAAAAAAATGACGATCTTGATCATGATGAAGGTGATAATACTTCAGATGAGAAGGATGCAAAGGAATAAGAACGGAGAAAAAAGACTGAGTTGGAAATGCTGATAACGCTTGTAAGACGACGTTGATAATTGTTGTGACAAAAAAATTTGATAAATTTTATCGATCATCTATTAAAAGTTGTAAATTTTTTTTTGCTTTTTAGTTCAATACCTTTTTCTTCTTATTTTTCATAAATTATTTCTCATTTTGTCTTTGATAAGACTAAAATTACTGCAGCAGTCACAATTGTCGGGCTCAGAGCTAGCATTTAGTGAGTAATTGTTAAAAAAATTGGTAGATAGTTCTAGTAATTTTTTATTCCATTTTTTTTTTTTAATAAGCACTCTGTTCACTCAACTTTTAAAAAACATATGTTTGTATGTATAAATATTTTATCCTTTTTTGTTTTTTTTTTTTACAAATAATTGAAAGTATTATAATTGTAGATTTTCAAGTGTTAAAAACAACAATATTAAGAACAAAAATAAGTTTTTTTTTTATGTTGCCGGATTTTGTGCTGTTAAGTAAATATAAATTTTTTTTTATTCCATAACAATTTATTGCTAAAAAAATAATATTATCCAAAGCAGTTCACACTTCAATAAATAATTTTTTTAAACACTTTTTTTAACATTGCTGAAATAGTTAAGCAATCAAAAACAACAAAAAAAAAAAGGAAGGATAGCTGCAAAATTATCATCTGTTCACTGAAGTATTGCGCTGCAACAGTCGAAATCTATGGACTCCAATAACACGTCTTACAGTATTCCTGCAGAAAACGGCAGAAAACTGTTTTGTTGAATTGTCTCAGTCAGTACAAACAACCTGCCTAAGTTTTATCCCAAGTGATGCCTAAGAAAGTATTTTAGTAGCCATTTCTTTTTCCCGTCTTATCTCTCTTAGTCGGAGCTTAACTTTTGTTATCAAAATTAAGCTTTAAATCGAATCTGTCAACAGTATACCAATTGTATACTAACTGTCTTTGAAAATTCTGACTTTTACTGGGTAAATCTTCAAATGTTTAAATTTTGACACGTATATTTTTTATTTACTGCGCAGTTTACTTTTTATTGCTTTAAATAACAAGCTGAGAGTTGGTGATAAGTGAAAGAAAAATTAAAAACTTTACAAAATAATCTGTAGTTTGAAAAAAATATTCAAGATTTTAGTCTCGTTGTTCTTTACCTAATAATTTCTGTTTTTTTGTTTTTGGTTTTGGTTTCTTCTGCTGCTTTCTTCTTGTTTTCGTTCAGCCAGTTGTTTTTTCTCTCTTCTTCCCCTCTATTTGTTCCGGAAAATTCCAGTTTTTCTCTAAGCCATAATTTTTAGTAGCATATCGTTTAAGGTTTTTTATGCTAAAAAAATTTTTCCCTCTGTCAGCTAAAATAATGTCACGTTTAGTGGTTTTAGCAATAACGTTTATCATCGTCATCATCATCTTCTCTTTTTCATTATCATCATCAATATCGTCATCTTCATCGCTATCATTTGTGTTTTCTTCCTGATATTACCATCGTTGCTTCAGTCTTTTTTTTTATTTCTCACTATTTTTCTTTTTGCAAACTCTCTTTAGCACTTATTGTTCGTTCAAAAAAAAAAAAGAAAAAAATTGGAAAAAGACGATTAAAACTTTTTTTGTGCTTGTTTTTGATTTGTTAGCCTCATATTTTTGTCGTTTAGCAATAAAAAGTTAATCACTTAAAAAAGGACGAGTGTTGTAGCCATCAAAAAAAAAACTTTTCTTATGCATTATATCTTTTTCTTTTAGCTTGTTAAACACTTATTAAATATGTTTTTAAAAAAACATGATTTTTCAGTAACTATCTGCAAAAAAAATTCTTTTTGAAGCTTTTTATTCTGATCTTTCAACTATTATTTGCATTTTTTTTTCTGTCATTGTTCAACCGCAATTGTTGTTTATGTGTATTTTTTTGTTTTTGAAAAGAGGAAGAAAGGCAAGGGGAAATAAAGGGGGAGACAAAAGGGAAAAGAGTTGCCTTTTAATAAAACTATGGTCAGTGGAAAATAAAAGCAAAACAAAAAACGAAATATTTATAATGTATATTTGGGCGTGTTAACGTTTCAAAAAGTCGGTTTTCAATATATAATATTTAGATTCGTTTCGTTTACACGACGGCAAAATTTCTTTTGAAACACTGATTCAGTGACTTTATGTATGCGATGAAAAGTTGCTGAGTGATGAGGGTAAATTTCTGGGGGAAAAGTTAAGAGAAATAAAAAAAAATAAAAAAAGGAAAAAAAAGGCGCTGATATCTTTGTAGTCATTATGATCGGTTCCCATGGGAGTCGAATTAAAGCTGGAAATCATAAGCAACTTGTCGATTTTTGGCTATCCCAAT